CAACCTGGGCCAGGGCCTCCCCACTGAATTGTATCAGTGCCAGTGCAGCTGGAAACGAGGTGAGGAGGAGGAGGGGGAGGAGAAATGGTTTTGCCTGAGCAGCAGTGCAAATGTGGTGTATGGTGATAGTACTGCAGATGTGATACGTGATGACAGCAGTGAAATTATGACACGTGGTGAGGGAATTTGGAGCTCAAAATTTGGTCGCTGTGCCCTTGAACGTTTCAGTAATTATTTTTATTCCTCTTCTTGCTTTAGAACCTTCTCCCCATTTACCGGCTCCAGAGGATGTGGAGATTTATTCCTATAACTTCCACAGTTTGCTGAGATGGTCTCCTGTTCCAGTGGAGAGAGGCTTGGTGTTATACACAGTCCACTATAAAACGTGAGTAAACAGTTCTAAAATAGCTCATTTTGTCCTAATTCAGTAACACAATTGGTTTGGAAACCTGAAAAGTGTAAATATGAATAAGCACAGAAATGAGAGCATGTTTTTTATCCCAGATGCTTTTGTGTATCTCCAAAAGCAGCATCTGAGAGGCTGTGATATGTCCCCTGAGCTGAGGAAAGATTGGAGACGTGAAGAGCAGCCAGAAATGTTGGCCAGTTCCCTGCACAATTTCAGTCTGATTCTCTCTGGTTAATTTTAATTTTCCCATTTAAATTTGATTTCCCCCGGGGAGATGGAGGTGCTGAGGGGGCCCTGGGGTTGTGCCCGGGTGAGAGCCGTGGGTTTGTGATGTGTTATCTCCTTACCCGAACCGTCTGGGTGGGAGGGGTTGTGTTTGGGTGCTGGCACTGTTCTGCCGTGTTCATTTGTGCTTTTCTGGCGAGGCAGAGGGGCCTTCCCTGTGTGGAATGAGATGAACTGCACCCGGATCCCCCGGCCCCAGTGCGGGTTCCCCCTGGAGATCCAGAAGCGGCGCTGGACGATCTTCCTGCGCGTGAGGGCCGAGCTGGGGCCGCTCCCCTCGGCCTGGGTGCAGGCAGGGCCCTTCGTGGCTGAGAGGGACAGTAAGTGCTGCCTTTGCTGTCACTGGCTCTGCCTCTGGCTCTCTCTCTCCAAGGAGATTTCTTTGAGAAAGCTGTTCTGCATTTTCAGCTCTGTTGTGCAGAGCCAAGGTGAGAGGGTTGGAGGTGTTTGCCCACAAAGACCTCAAAGGTCTCGCCGGGATTTGACACTCCCTGGTTCTGCTGTGGGGGGTCAGGGCTGTCTCAGCAGGTGTCACGAGAGAAACAGGGGTTTCCTGGGGTGGTTGAGCCTTGCCAGAGCCACAATGTTCTTTTGCTGGGGAGTTTTCCACTTTCTCATTTCCCCCCTGAGCACTGCCCACGTGAACCCCTTGGATTTGTGGCAGTCTGAGGCAAACCCACCTGCTTCTGCTGAACAGATCCCTGTCCTGATAAATACCAATGGTCTGATAAATGTAAATTGTCCTCATAAATATGAACAGTCCTGACAGATATAAATTGTCCTGACTGCAGTGTGGAAGTGTCAAGGACACTTCTTAAATTATAGAATCTCAGACTGGTTTGGTTGAGAGGGACCTTAAAGCTCATCCAGTGCCACCCCCTGCCATGGGCAGGGACACCTTCCACTAGACCCTACCAGGGGTGATTTTCCTGTCAGTAAGTACCACAGGCAGTACTTCATTTGTGTTTTTTATGATTTAGACCACAAGAGTATTTCACAAAAGGAAATTATCATGTTTACCCTGAAGGTCAGATGGAGACATCAAAGCAAGGAGGGGGAAAGCAGTTATTTCTCTTCCAGTCTATTGACTCAAAGCACTGTGGTTTTTAGGGAACCTGGAATTTGTGGCTGGCTGATCAAAGGAAAAAAAAATGGCCAGTAACTGCAGATGAACTTGGGTATTTTCTAGTTAATGTTTACTGAATTACCAGCTAGGTAAATATTGTAAATTTATTAAGTACATGAGGAAATGTTTTCCCTTTCTTGAGAAAAAGCTGTTGAAATTTATTATGTTTCCTGGGAGTGTCCAGG